CTGTGTTTGATTTAAGTAAAAAAGTGAAAGAGTTAAGCCTTGGCATAGACCTGGAATCCCAGCCACTTGGGACACTGAGTGAGGTAGGAGGATTGCAAGTTCAAGGCCAGCCTGGTAACTTAGTGATTAGTGAAGACCCTTTCACAAAAATAAAAGGTAAAAAGAAGAGTGGGGGTATGGCTTATTGGTAGAATGCTTTCCCAGTATAAATGAGGACCTAGGTTCAATCCCTGCTATCTCCCAAAGAAAATGAAAGGATAAGTACTTTGGTGAGGAAGGGAAACTTCTTTCTGATGGGAGATGGCTTTATTGCCCCCTCCCTGAAGGGGGATTGAGGTGCTCCGGCTCTCAGAGCTACAGACACACCTGCCTGTAGCCCTTGGTGCATATAGAGGGACAGGCATAGGAGCTGTGAGGGCAGCAGGACAGTGCCACTAGTGCTCTGTTGGTTTTTAAGGTGCCGCTCAATGGAAGTGGATCTCAACCAGGCACATATGGAGGATACCCCTAAAAGGAAAGGAACCAATGTGTTTGGAAGCCTTGAGCGAGGATTGGATAAGGTTCTCACTGCACTTACTAGGAGCAAGAAGAAGGGCTCTGCCAAAGATGGGCCAAGAAAGCGAAAGGTAAGTAGACCAAAGTTTATTAGAGAGATTTCAGAAGCTGACTCTTAACTGGATGTCTCTTTAACCCCAATCTCTTTGGCTGGGTCTCTAACCCAGGCTGTTCTCAAACCAGGGCAATCTTCTTCCCTCAGTCTCCCAAATACTGAGATTACAAGCATGTGCTGTCATCACCACCTCACCTGGTTGCACTGATTCCCCCCGAGTGAGGAGTGAGTGAGTGAGTGTGTGTGTGTGTGTGTGTGTGTGTGTGTGTGTGTGTGTGTGTTTTTTTTTTTTTTTTTTCTTTTTTTTTTGTGTGTGGGGGGATCCAGGAAAGAACACTGTGTGGAGTTTGCATGTCAGGAGCTTTTACCTGCTGAGACATCTTGCCAGTCCATCCTTTGCTTTGCAAAATGAAATAGATTGCTGGGTGGGGTGGTGATGTCCCAGCACTCAGGCGACAAAGGCAGACAGATCTTTGAGTTTGAGGCCAATCTGGTCTACAGAGTGAATTCCAGGATAGCCAGGGCTAAACAGAGAAACTCTGTCTTGAAAAACCAAAATAAACAAACAATTAATTAATTAAATGAATAAATGAATAGAGAAGATAAATAAAAAGAAACACATCAAATAAATTTACTGTTTTTTTAAAATCACCTGTTTTAAATTGCCTATTCATCTATACACTTTTTTGAGTACTTAATACATGCATGTTCTTATGTGGTGTGTTTTAAGAATGCAGAGGTGGACTGGAGAGGCTTGGTGGTTAAGAGCATTTGTTGTCTTGTAGAGGACCAACATTCAGTTTCTAGCAGCCACATGGTGGCTCACAACCACCCATAATTCCAATTTCAGAACATAGGATGCCCTCTTGTGGCCTCTGTAGACACGAGACACACATGTGGTGTATAGACATGGCATGGCATGGCATGTATGACATGACAAAGCAGTCATACACACAACATAAGATAAAAACCTAAAAATAATTTTTTTTAAAGAATGTCAGGTGATTTAGATAGTTACCCTCTTCAAAGAACATATTAACTGTAATTCAAATAATTCAGAATCACACAGTTCATGATATATTTGTATGCATGGGAAATTAATTTGAACTTTTTAAAAACAGTTATTTGTGTGTACATATGCATACCATGTAGAGGCCAGAGGACAACTTGTAGGAGTCTGGTCTCTCCTGCCACCATGTGGGTCATGGGTATCGAACTCGGGTCATCTAGATTGAGAATAAGTACTTTTACTCACTGAGTCACCTTGGCAGCCTTGATTAAAAATTTGAATTGTAGTATTTATAAGGAAAATAGTGAGTAATGGGTTAGGAAGACAGGCTGGAAGGCCATTAAGGTCCTGGCTAAGAGGTTTGCATTTTATTTAATAATCCTGTTACACTTTTAAAAACTTAATCTATTGGTATAGACAATATAGTTGGTGGAGAAAGAAAAAATAAGCCACTACCAGTGTCTTAGTCCCTGTTTTCTTGCTGTGAAGAGACACCATGACCAAGGCAATACTTATAAAAGGAACTGGGGGCTGGCTTACAGTTTCAGAGGGTTAGTCTGATATCATCATGGTGGGAAGCATGGCAACAGGCATACGGGCAGATGCTGGAGAAGTAGCTGTGAGCTACATCCTGATCTGCAGGCCACAGGAAAAAGAGCTACTGGGCTTGACATGGGTTTCTGAAATTCAAAGCCTGTCCTTAGTGACACATGTTCTCCACCAAGGTCACACTTTTTTAAAAAAATAATTTATTTTTTACATTCCAATCCCAGTTCCCTAACCCTCCTCTCCTCCTGCTGTCCCCTCCTTCCTCCATCCCACCTCCCACCTGCTCCTGAGAGAAGGTAAGGCCTTCTAGGATGTCAACTAAGTCTGTCTCATCACCTTGTTGAAGCAGGACCAAGACGCCCCTCCGCATGTCTAGGCTGAGCAAGGTGTCTCTCCATAGAGAATGGGCTCCACTAAGCCAGTTTATGCATTGTAGTTAGATCTTGGTCCTACTGCCAGAAGGCCACACCTCTTAACCCTTACCTTTCTAAATAGTTCCACTACCTGGTGACTAAACTTTCAAATATAAGAGTCTGTAGGGGCCCATTCTTTTTCAGACCACCACATTTTACTCCCTGGCCCCCAGAGGCTTGTAGCCATATCATAAAATGAAAAAATGTATTTAGTCCAACCTCAAAAGTCTTCATAATCTTTCAGTGTCAACACTGTTTCAAAGTTCAAAGTCTCTTCTGAAACTCATGCAATCTCTTAACTGTTAACCCTATGTAAAAATCAAAATTAAAAAGCAGATCACATACTTCCAACATACCATGGCATCAAATGTAAACTACCATTCCAAAAGGGAGGAAGGGAACATAGTGAGGAAATTCTGGACCAAAGACCAAAAACCAGCAGGACAAACTCCAAATTCTGCATCCTCATGTTTGATACCAAAGTGTTCTTTAGAACTCTAGTGCCTTCTAGCTTTGTTAACTGCAACCTACTTTCCTTGGCAGGTATCCCACCACTCTGGTATCTTCAACATCTTGGGGTCTCCAACACAAGCCAGGCTTCACCTGCACAGCTTCATACACTGGCCTTTCTGGGCCTGCATGCAGGGACACCCCTGACACACCTGGTCTCGGCAGCTCTCCTTAGCCATAGAGGGAGGTTCTACAACCCTTTTTGTGTGTTGTTGACTCTAAAGCAGGAACTGTGTGTACACATGCACGCACACATTCACACACTGTGAAATGTAATTCAAAAAATTTAAAAATTGTTAAGAAAGGAAGATGAGCATACAAAATTGATAGCCCAGTGGGTAAAGGTGTCACTGTGGAAGTCTGATGATCTGAGTTCAATCCCTGGAACTCACATAAAGGTGACAGAAGAGAAACAACTTCACGCAGTCGTGCTCTGACCTTCACACACAGGTTATTTTCTGTATACACCCCCACCCCCCATAGGGTTTCTCTGTGTAGCCCTGGCTGTCCTAGAATATGCTTTGTAGACCAGGCTGGCCTAGAACTCATGGAGAGCTGCCTCCTGTGTGCCGGGGTTAAACGTATGTACCACCATGTCTCGTACAATTATTTTTAAAATGGGGATAATAGAGCAGCTTCTAATGAAGACAGTTTCCCCTGACTCCCCACTGCTGTGCTGGCTCTGCTGGCTAATCTTCCAGGGTTTCCTTGAAGCGTTTCCATTTGAAAAAGAGTTGGGGGCTTTTGTGTTCATGTGAAGTTTGACCCCTCTCGCCTTTTTCTTTCTAAGCTGCACTATAACGTGACTACAACTAGACTGGTGAATCCTGACCAGCTCCTGAATGAAATAATGGCTGTTCTTCCACAGAAGCACGTGGACTTCGTACAGAAAGGGTAAGAAGTTCACTGACTGCCATTATTCTTCACTTTACTGTCAGTGCACTTTGATTCTCACCTCCCACCTTGTCCTCACTTCAAAGTTCCTCCCACCACTCTCAAGAAAGATGCTATGGTGGTGCTGTTGTTCATAGCTGATTTTCTTTTTAGCTGAAAGAAACACTTGTGGTCACCACTTCCAAGATTAGATTTTCACCTCAGAATTGGATAATATGGACTTGCATTTATTTTAGGACAATCTTCTAGGCCCTTTAATTTTCTGCTTTGTTGTACTATTTATTAGTTGTAATCTTAATCAATGAGACACTTTGGACAAGGGAAATTTGTAGATTGCGTCTCTGTGACCAGCTACCTTACAGAGTTAGGGTTAGGAGGGTTAAGGAAGTTAATTCAGCTGAATGTCTCTGCTTAGTGAGCTGTCAGAAGCTCCGAGGTGCGATTTCACGGTGTGAGTAACCAGGTCTCTTCTGAGCATGCAAATTGTTCCTATTTCTAAGAAGATCACTAAGTATGTCTTTAAAATGACATATTTTAGTTTTATTTTTTATGTATTAATGTTTTGCCTGCCTCTCTCTCTCTCTCTCTGTGTGTGTGTGTGTGTGTGTGTGTGTGAGAGAGAGAGAGAGAGAGAGAGAGAGAGAGAGAGAGAGAGAGAGAGAGAGAGAGACTCACATGCTTGCCTGGTGCCAGAAGGCCAGGCTTGCAGAGGCCAGAAGAGGGCATCAGATCCCCTGGAACTAGAGTTATAGATCATTGTAAACTGCCATGTGGATGCTGAGAATTAGTCCTCTGAAAGAGCAGCCAGTGCTTCTAACCACTGAGCAATCTTTTCAACCATATTCATTATCTGAAATAGTCACAAGCTAGCGTGGCTCTCTGATCTGGACAGCTCCAATCTCCTAAGCACTGAGATTACAAGCATTTCATCACACCAGCTTCTAGAATCCCTTTATTAAACAGCTGAGTACAACTTCTTATTTAATTTACCAAAAGCATGCAGATGGGATAACTATATAGAGTTTGATTTTTTTATTTTTTGTTTGCTTGTTTACTTTTTTGAGACAGGACCTTGTATTATAGTCCAGGCTAGCTTCAACTTTTGAATCTCCTGCCTTTATACCCAAAGATCTATGTTACCCCAGGCTGATCTGGAACACAATTGACTAGTACAGGGTAGCTTTGAACTTGTGACTTTCCTTCCTCCACCTGTGAAACACTGGAATTACAGGCTTGTACCACCTGTATTAGAGTAATAGTTCCATTCTAGAGTAATAGTTAAAGACAGCCCTTTGTGAATATATTGTCACTCATGCTCTGTAGGTGTGTTAGAACATATTTGTCTAACTCATGTTTAGTGCTTCTTATGCATGGTGGTGTTTCTCTGGTCCCAGAAGCGCTAGCTGACTTTCACAGGCGTGTGGTGTGGTGATCTCTCCTTTGGCATGTGACTTAGCAGCAGATCACTAGCTGAAATCTAACCAGTGCTTTGACCTCCTGATGCCCTGAGCAACCAGAATGGTCTTGAGGTGACCCTCTCTGTTCCATTACTTTCTGTTCATTTTTACCTTGTGGTGGAGCAAAAGGCAGCATTCAGCTTTTCAGTTCTTGTCTCTCTCTCTATCTCATTCTTTCTTCCAGGAAGGAGGAATTTGTATTTTATAGAACTAAACTGGTCACCCTCCGTGTAGATCATGGGATGTTCCTTTTGACATTTGGCTGTTTATTTCTACTATAGTATGTATATCCTTCTCCTCAAACTCAGTGTAACTAAGTAAGACAGAATGATGTTTTGTGAAACTTCATAATAAACAATAAAAACTGTTGCAGTTGTGCTTGGTGGCTTGTGCATGACTGAGTTTGAGGCTAGCCTAAACTATATAGTAAGTTTCAGGCTAGTTTGGGCTATATGAAAAGATACTATTTTTCTTGGTTGTTTATTTTTTGAGACAATCTCGTGTAGCTCCAGCTGACCTCAAACTTGCTATGTAGCAGGGGATAACCTTGAACTCTGCTCCTACTGCCTCTATCTCCCAAGTTTCGGGAGCCCATGGCTGCAAGACCCTGTCTCAAAAAACCCCCAAAATTGTCATACTTCTGAGGAAAAGTACCTAATCATATGTTTAAATACTTAGCTTAAATTGAAAAGAAACCTAGTGTTTCTTGTGTTTTTTATTTGTTGAAGATCAGTAAGACATAACTAATATTTAAAATGTAAAATAATTAAATAATTTTGTTCATATGAATTCAATTCATGCCACTTTCATACTCACAACTCTATTTTGTATTGCCAGGGAAGGGAACCTGGCAGCTTTGACTCTATGCTCTATGCTTCCAGCACAGGGATGCACCATTTCCCTGGTCTTTCTTTTGCTCTTTTTTATACTGTAAAGTGTTGTTGCAATCATAACTTCTAAACTTGTATAGCAAAATCTCAAGGCTTTATTTAAGTGAAAGTAACAAGTTTGAGAGGTTAGACTGTTTTGCATGTCCCTTGTTTTCCTTTGTTGGGGACATTGTGGGAATGACCTCACACTCCTATATTACAGCGTTGAAAGGCCACATAAAAATGCCAGCTTTCACAGGTGTGTGTGGCATGCACAGCCATTTAAGAAGGGCTTTCCGTGCTTTGAGGGAGAAGTCTGGTCAAGTTTTCACACCTTATTCTTCAGATCATCACTCAGTTTCTGGGAAAACTCCAGTCACACCTTACCACTACAGCGTAGCTAGGCCAGTTGGAAACTGTGTGGAGAATTTATTGATTAGAGTGAAATAATGGCTCATTTCCCCACCAGCTCTTAGAAGCATAGAAACCTCTTGCATTATCCAGAATACTTAAGGCCCCTAACTACCTGGTATCTTAATGTTTTTTACAGTTACACACTAAAGTGTCAAACGCAGTCTGATTTTGGCAAAGTGACAATGCAGTTTGAATTAGAAGTGTGCCAGCTCCAGAAACCCGACGTGGTGGGCATACGGAGACAGCGGCTTAAGGGTGACGCCTGGGTTTACAAGAGATTGGTGGAAGATATCCTGTCTAGCTGCAAGGTGTAACTGATGGATGGTTTCCATCCTGCCCGGATGCATGTGGATGTCATGCTGTGTACAAGAAGACCCGTGGATTGGCTGGATTAACTACATGTTCGTTTTTTTCAAGAACAAGACTTTTTTGCCTTTACAACAAAAATTTATTTTGTGGCTGAATCCAGGGCAACCAACTCTCTGTCATTTTCATTTACTCTTTAAAATCACGTGGCTAGATATGTTAGTAACTGTTGATTTTTCTATGTTCACTTCCATAGGGGATTGTCAGCTCTTCCTGTGGCTCATTTTGATGTACACTTTTCTTTTTGAACTAAAACCATTTGTGAATATACCGGGCTTCTCTTTGTATCTGATTTTGATCCAAATAAAACCTCGAATGGCTTTCTGACTGTTAAATAGAGACTATTTGGAGTGTGTTTTATCTGTTATCAAATATGCCTTGGGCAGAAAAACAGATAAGAATTCATTTGCATAATTTTTTCCTGTCTCTGATTTAAGTAGGATTTATTGAGATCGTTAACTAAGTCACAGCTGTGGTTACCAGAGTTAAACAACACATTTAATACGTGGTATAAAAAGCGTATTGACTTCAGTAAGTATGTCCAGTCAACAATGATAAGTATCCGAACCGCAGGCCCCATGAAATGTTACTTTATGGTAATCTCCCTAAGTCTCAATGTTGGCCCCAAATTTGTATTTTTATTTCATTTTATTGGTCTCTAAAGGCCAGAACTCAAGTTACATTTGTATGGATTTTACCAATTAAACTAGTTGGAGAAAAAATAGTACTGTTTGTGGTCAGTAGTGAGGGAGCGTTTTGTCATTCATTGATTCAATAAACATTCACTGAGTGTTTACGAGCACTGGCTTCTGGAGCGGACGCTGGTATTGTCGAGCAAACCAGGGAGTTCAGAATCTGTCATGAGGCCAGATGTTTCCAGTATTCACACGTGATCTGAAGAGAGAGATGTCCTGGGAAAAATAGCATTTATTCTTGACTAATCCACAGGGATACACTAAACAAGACTGGGAATTATGTTGTTCTTAACAGAGTATATGCGCAGACAAAGCATTCAGGTGGTGCTGAGGAGAGGTTTTAAAGGCAAAAGGAAATGGCATCAAGTATTAAGAGAGAATAGATGAGAGAAATTTAGCTAAGAATAAAGCCCGAAGGAGCTTGAGTGTCCCACTGAAGAGAGTGCTTTGGGTAAGGAAAACTAACCACTGCAGGATTTTACACTGTTTAGTGACAAGTTTATTGACATATAAGTCACATCTTACAAGTTCCACCTTTTATAATTCAGAGATCTTAAAAGCGTATTCATGGAATGGTGAAATAACTCAGCAGCTAAAGGTGTGTGGGCCAAGCATACCCAGAATCCACATGGTGGAGAAAACTGACTCTCACAAACTGCTCTTTGACTTCTATGTGTATGCTCCTCTCCCCGCTCCTCTCCCATGACATAAGTGTAAATTTTTTAATTAAATAAATAAGGACTGGGGGTTGGCTCAGTGGTAAAAGCATCGGCCATCCAAGTATGAGAACCAGAGGTAGGGTTCCGAAGGACCCTTGTAAATGCCCACCTGGAATTCCAGCCTCAGCAGGTGGAGGTGGGAATCCCCAAAGCAAGCTGCAAGCTCTACATTTGCTTGAGAGACCTTGCTCATTGAGTATGGTGGAAGAGTAATGAAGGATGATTGCTGGCACCAACCTCGGGCTCTGCGTGTGCGTGCACAAATGCACCCATGTCTGTGCACACATGTATAATACACACGCACACATGGGAATATGGGGGGAAATAAAGCTCATTTTATAGTTATGCAGCCATCACCACAGTCTAATTTTGTAAGATTTTCATCCCACAGAAACTCTGCCACTGTAAAGATTCACTCTCCATCCCCTTGCCCCATAATCCTGATGAACATATGTTTGCTTTCCGTCTTCACAGATGAACTATTCTGCGCAATTCATATATTCATATAAATATACCCAGGTTCACTCTGTTGCTCTGACAAATACCTCACCCCCTTTTTTCTTTTCTTTTTTTCTTTCTCCCCCCCCCCCCCCGCCCCCCTCAGTACTGGGAATGAAACCCACAGCCTCACACACGCTACCACTACCACTCTGGAACTCACAGAGATCTATCTGCCTGCCTCTGCCTCCTAGGATCAAGGTGCTAGGAACAAGGTGTGCACCATCACCGCCTGGCCCAAAAAGCAACTAAAGGAAGGAAAGGGCTGGTTTGGATTACACTTCCGGGTCACTGTTCATCATTGAGGGAAATCAGGGCAGTAACTGCAAGGCAGAAACCATAGGAACATGCTTGCTGGCTGTCTTGCAGATGCATGTTTACCTACATTAAACATTAAAGACAAATTACTCATATGTGTGTGGGCTTGCAGTTGTTAGTGCAGGTACCCTTGGAGGTCAGAAGATGGTGCTGGATTTCTCAGAGGTAGGCTTTAGGCAAGTTGTGGGCCGCCTGATGTAGGTGCTGGAAATTGATCCTGGGTTCTCTGAAAGAACAGTATGAGCATGGAACCGCTGAACCGATGGTTCTCAACCTGTGTGTGGGTCGAGACCCCTTTGGGATCACAGACATTACATTATAATTCATAACTGCAAAATTAAAGTTATGAGGTAGCAATGAAATAATTTTATCCCTGGGGGTCACCACAACTGTATTGAATGGTCACAGTATTACGAAAGTTGAGATCGTGGCACTAAACCATCTCTTCAGCCCCTGCTAGCTTTCTTACATGGCTCAGAACTACCTGCCCGGGGAAAAGTACTGCCCACATCCTACACCAATTATGATTAAGGCAATCCCTCACAGAATGTCCACAAGCCATTCTGGTCTAGGCAGTTGCTCAATCGAGACTTTAGATGATGCTGTGTCAAGTGACAAAGGCTATCTAGGACAAAATAGGGCTAGAGAGATGGCTCAATGGTTAGGAGCACATGTTCAGTCAGGCCCGGGGCTCAGATCCCAGCATCCATGTCAGCCAGCTCACAGACATCTGTAACTCCATTTCCAAGGGGCCTCACAGCAGGCACCCACACATACACATATGCGCACATGTAAATAAACCTTTTTTTTTTTTAAAAAAAAAAAAAAAAAAAAAAAACAAAC